CCTGGAATCTCCTCTGTGCTCTCGTCTCCTGGAACCTCCTCCGTGCTCTCGTCTCCTGGAACCTCCTCCTGTGCTCTCTCTCGTCTCCTGGCTCTCTCCTCCCGTGCTCTCGTCTCCTGGAATCTCCTCCCGTGCTCTCGTCTCCTGGAATCTCCTCCTGTGCTCTCGTCTCCTGGAATCTCCTCCTCGTCTCCTGCTCTCCATGCTCTCCTGGAATCTCCTTAGTGTTCTCCTGGAATCTCCTGGAATCTCCTCTGTGCTCTCGTCTCCTGGAATCTCCTCTGTGCTCTCGTCTCCTGGAATCTCCCTCCTGTCTCCTGAATCTCTCTGTGCTCTCTCCTGGAATCTCCTCTGTGCTCTCTCCTGTGCTCTCGTCTCCTGGAACCTCCTCCGTGCTCTCGTCTCCTGGAACCTCCTCCGTGCTCTTGAGACTGTGCTGGGAGACACAGCAAACCTTCTGGCAATGGCAGGTATTGATGGGCCATCCTGGAGGAGTTGGACTGCCTGTGTGACCTCTGTAGGGTCCAGGTATGACCTCCATGCTACCAGTAGTGACACTGACCCAAGCCAAATGCAAAACGAGCAAGAGACAGTCAAAAAAGACGAGGAGGGAAAAATGTCAGTGGCCTCCACCTGTAAAAGCATTCCTGTTTTGGGGGTTGTCTTATTGTTGCCCATCTAGTGCACCTGTTGTTAGTTTCATGCCCACCAAAGCAGCTGAAACTGATAACCCCCTCTGCGACTTACCCCAGATCCTCTGCGACTTACCTGACCAGATCCTCTGCGACTTACCTGACCAGATCCTCTGCGACTTACCTGATCAGATCCTCTGCGACTTACCTGACCAGATCCATATCCCAGGAGGGTCATGTGACTCGGATTAAAAAGTGTTCCTTTTACTTTGTGGAGCAGTGTATATGTGTGTGTGTATATATATATATATATATATATGTAGCACCCTTCTAGTTAGCTAGGGGGAGCTAGAAACCTGATTGGTAGTCGGGCTGAGTAGCAGCCTGGGTGTAATAGTCAGAAGCAGGGACGGACTGACAACTCATGGGGCCCCCAGGCAATAAGAGATCATGGGGCCCCTGTGTCCTCGCCCACGCTCAAACCACACCCAAAAAAGCATATGAAAGGTACCAGGGGCATCTCATGGGGCCCCCTACTGACCCCGGGACCTCTGGCAGTGCCCAAATGCTCGAATGTTCTATCTGCCCTGGTCAGAAGGTTAAATCTGGGTCAGGAACTGAGAGGCTCTGCAGACCAGCCCTCCCTCTGGAATTCCCACTGCTCTAGAACTTTGGAGAAAGGTCTAGAAGCAGTGGGCGGATCTGAGGAGAGTCTAGTTTGCATTCTTAGGGGATCCTGGCCAATCTCCAACAGGAGGCTTGGCAAGGGGCAAGGACAACCCTTAAAACTGAGGCTGCTCAGTAGCAGGAGAGTTCGGGTTGAAAAGAGAGAAGGATGTGAGGCTGGAGGCAGGAGCCCATGTAGGGACCCAGATGGATAGGGGCTCACCTGCAGACAGAGGACCTTGGAAGGTGGAAAATGTGGAAGTTCGCCAGCCCTCAGAGAGAGGACCACCTGTGTGGCAGGGAAGGAGCGGCCCAGCTAGAAGGCCTGGTAGCAGCCACCGACCCACCGGCAACACAGGAGAAGGACCAAGTGAGTAGACCTTCACCCCCTGGGCCAGTAAGGGGACTGTATTTGCTATCTCACCCAGGTCTGTTGACACTGTGGTGGCAGATACTGGATCCTCTGCGCAGGGAATCACCCAGTACAGCTGGTGGGGGGGGGGGGGGTAGAACTACAGGAGGGCCAGGCCAGCCCTCCAGGACAGACTTTGCTGTGAGGACTCATACATAGTTGCTGAGGAGTTGGTCCTCAGTTGCCATTCCCTTGGGCATTCCCCTCACCCCATCCAAGTTCTAAACCCCTCATAAAACTTCAAATCAAAGCTGAAGGATGGTCTCCTGGGTGAAGGAAATTCATGTTGCCTGGCTGTGTAGGACTACAGAGAGACCCAAATCTACTGCAACTCCTAGGGGGAAGTATTGGGCCGCCTGCCTTCTTACGCACATGACCTTTAATGGCCTCCCAGTCTTAGTCCGCAGGGTTCAATATTGAGTTGGCCCCGCCCTTCCCACGCACATCACCTTTAATGGCCCCCTAGTCTTAGTCTGTAGGGTTCAATATTGAGTTGGCCCCGCCCTTTCCACACACATGACCTTTAATGGCCTCCCAGTCTTAGTCCGCAGGGTTCAATATTGAGTTGGCCCCGCCCTTCCCCACGCACATCACCTTTAATGGCCCCCCAGTCTTAGTCTGTAGGGTTCAATATTGAGTTGGCCCCGCCCTTTCCACACACATGACCTTTAATGGCCTCCCAGTCTTAGTCCGTAGGGTTCAATATTGAGTTGGCCCCACCCTTTCCACACACATGACCTTTATGGCCCCCAGTCTTAGTCCGTAGGGTTCAATATTGAGTTGGCCCCGCCCTTTCCACACACACACCTTTATGACCAGTCTTAGTCCGTAGGGTTCAATATTGAGTTGGCCCCGCCCTTTCCACCCATGTCTTAGTTCGTAGGGTTCAATATTGAGTTGGCTCCGCCCTTTGCCTCTTCTGGGAAGGCCCCCCCACAAGGTTTAGGAGGGTGTCTATGGGAAGGTTGGACCATTCTTCCAGAAGCACATTTGTCAGGTCAGGCACTGATGTCGGGGGAGGGGCACTGATGTCGGGGGAGGAGGCCTGGCTCGCAGTCTCCGCTCTAATTCATCCCAAAGGTGTTCTATGGGGTTGAGGTCAGGACTCTGTGCAGGAACAGTCAAGTTCCTCCACCCCAAACTGGCTCCTCCATGTCTTTATGGACCTTGCTTTGTGCACTGGGGGGCAGTCATGTGGGAACAGGAAGGGGCCATCCCCAAACTCCTCCCACAAAGTTGGGGGCATGAAATTGTCCAAAATGTCACCTTAAGAGTTCCCTTCACTGGAACTAGGGGGCCAACCCAACCCCTGAAAAACACCCCCACACCATAATCCCCCCTCCACCAAACTTTACACTTGGCACAATGCAGTCAGGCAAGTACCGTTCTCCTGGCCACCACCAAACCCAGACACGTCCATCAGTTGGCCAGACAGGGAAATGTGATTGGTCCCCTCCAGAGAACACGCCTCCTCTGCTCTAGAGTCCAGTGGCGGCATGCTTTACACCATGGCATCCGACGCTTTGCATTGCACTTGGTGATGGAAGGCTTGGATGCAGCTGCTCGGCCATGGAAACCCATTCCATGAAGCTCTCTACACACTGTTGTTGGGCTCATCTGAAGGCCACACCAAGTTTGGAGGTCTTTAGTAGAGATGAGCGAATCGAACCAGGCGAACCGGAATTCGATACGAATTTCAGGAAAAATTCGATTCGCGTCGAATCCGAATATTTGCCTACTTCGGGTGCGCGAATCGGATTTTTCCCGATCAGCCGGCAAAAGTGTCCCTGCAGAGAGCTCCGCTATTTCTGACAGTTCTCTGACAGTTCCTTCACATGTACAGCGGTTGAAACATTGTATCTGTTTGTTTCCATTTAGGATACAGATGTTTCAACCGCTGTACATGTGAAGGAGCTGTCAGAGAACTGTCAGAAATAGAGGAACTCTGCACATACACTTTTTGCCGGTTTGGAATTATTATTTTCATCCTACTTCTTCTTCTTCTTCTACTTCTTCATCCTCATCCTCATCCTCAGAAGATGAGGATGAAGAAGAAGAAGTATGATGAAAATAAGAATAATTCCAAGCCGGCAAAAAGTGTATGTGCAGAGCTCCGCTATTTCTGACAGTTCTGTGACATTCCCTCCATACAGCGGTTGAAACCTTGTATCTATTTGTTTCCATAAATGGATCCATTTATGGAAACAAATAGATACAATGTTTCAACCGCTGTATGGAGGGAATGTCACAGAACTGTCAGAAATAGACAGAAACTGTCACAGAACTGTCCTTTCTTCTCATCCTTCTCCTTCTTCTCATCCTTCTTCTCATTCTTCTCCTTCTTCTCATCCTCTTCTCATCCTTCTCCTTCTTCTCATCCTTCTTCTCATCCTTCTCCTTCTTCTCATCCTTCTCCTTCTCCTCATCCTTCTCCTTCTTCTCATCCTTCTCCTCTTCTCATCCTTCTTCTCATCCTTCTCCTTCTTCTCATCCTTCTTCTCATCCTTCTCCTTCTTCTCATCCTTCTTCTCATCCTTCTCCTCATCCTCTCATCCTTCTTCTCATCCTCTCCTTCTTCTCATCCTTCTCCTTCTCCTCATCCTTCTCCTTCTCCTTCTTTTCATCCTTCTCCTTCTTCTCATCCTTCTCCTTCTCCTTCTTCTCATCCTTCTCCTTCTTCTCATCCTTCTCCTTCTCCTTCTTCTCATCCTTCTCCTTCTCCTTCTTCTCATCCTTCTCCTTCTTCTCATCCTTCTCCTTCTCCTTCTTCTCATCCTTCTCCTTCTCCTTCCTCATCTCCAAGGGCATTTAAATTAAAGGTACAGTGTTCTGCACTAATTTAAAGGCTCTCTGAAGCCTAGAAACACCCTTTTTATAAGTTAACTTCGTAGCGAATTAATTCGCATCGAATCGAATTTCTTCCTGAAATTCGGCGAATCAGCCGAATCGAATTTTTGAATAATTCGCTCATCTCTAGTCTTTAGCTATTGACTCTGCAGACAGTTGGTGACTTCTGCGCACTGTGCGCTTCAGCATGCGCTGACCCCGCCCTGTCATGTGACGTGGCCTACCACTTGGTGGCTGAGTGGCTGTTGTTCCCAGTTGCTTCCACTTTGTTATAATCCCACTAACAGTTGAGCGTGGAATATTTAGTAGCCAGGAAATGTCACGGATGGACTTATTGCCCAGGTGACCACCTATCACGGGACCACGCTTGGAGTCACTGAGCTCCTGAGAGCGACCCATTCTTTCACCAATGTTTGTAGAAGCCGTCTGCATGCCTAGGGGATGATTGTATACACCTGTGTCCATGGAGGGGATTGGAGAGCACCTGAATCACATGATATGGAGGGGATTGGAACACCTGAATCACATGATATGGAGGGGATTGAAACACCTGAATCAAATGATATGGAGGGGATTGAAACACCTGAATCACATGATATGGAGGGGATTGAAACACCTGAATCACATGATATGGAGGGGATTGGAACACCTGAATCACATGATATGGAGGGGATTGGAATACCTGAATCAGATGATTGGAGGGGATTGGAACACCTGAGTCATATGATATGGAGGGGATTGAAACACCTGAATCACATGATATGGAGGGGATTGGAACACCTGAGTCACATGATATGGAGGGGATTGGAACACCTGAATCACATGATATGGAGGGGATTGGAACACCTGAATCACATGATATGGAGGGGATTGGAACACCTAAATCATATGATATGGAGGGGATTGGAACACCTGAATCACATATGATATGGAGAGCGGGGCCAATACTCGGCAATATAGTGTACAGTATATATAGGTGGTATATATAGGTGGGGGAGGGGAGGGGACTGTATATACAATATATAGGGGGGGGGGAGGGGTGGGGACTGTATATACAGTATATAGGTGGGGGAGGGGTGGGGTCTGTATATACAGTATATAGGTGGGGGGGGGGGGACTGTATATACAGTATATAGGTGGGGGAGGGGTGGGGTCTGTATATACAGTATATATAGGTGGGGGGGGAGGGGTGGGGTCTGTATATACAGTATATATAGGTGGGGGAGGGGTGGGGTCTGTATATACAGTATATAGGTGGTATATATAGGTGGGGGAGGGGTGGGGTCTGTATATACAGTATATATAGGTGGGGGGGAGGGGTGGGGACTGTATATACAGTATATAGGTGGGGGGGGAGGGGTGGGGTCTGTATATACAGTATATAGGTGGGGGGGGTGGGGACTGTATATACAGTATATAGGGTGGGGGGAGGGGGGGACTGTATATACAGTATATAGGTGGGGGGAGGGGTGGGGACTGTATATACAGTATATAGGTGGGGGGGGGGTGGGGACTGTATATACAGTATATAGGTGGGGGGAGGGGACTGTATATACAGTATATAGGTGGGGGGAGGGTGGGGACTGTATATACAGTATATAGGTGAGGGAGGGGTGGGGACTGTATATACAGTATATAGGTGGGGGGGGGAGGGGTCTGTATATACAGTATATAGGTGGGGGGAGGGGTGGGGACTGTATATACAGTATATAGGGGGGGGGGGGAGGGGTGGGGACTGGTATATAGGTGGGGGGGAGGGGACTGTATATACAGTATATAGGTGGGGGGGAGGGGACTGTATATACAGTATATAGGTGGGGGAGGGGGTGGGGACTGTATATACAGTATATAGGTGGGGGGGGAGGGGACTGTAAATACAGTATATAGGTGGGGGGGTGGGGACTGTATATACAGTATATAGGTGGGGGGGGGAGGGGTGGGGACTGTATATACAGTATATAGGTGGGGGAGGGGGTGGGGTCTGTATATACAGTATATAGGTGGGGGGGGGGTGGGGTCTGTATATACAGTATATAGGTGGGGGGAGGGGTGGGTCTGTATATACAGTATATAGGTGGGGGGAGGGGTGGGGACTGTATATACAGTATATAGGTGGGGGGAGGGGGGGGGGACTGTATATACAGTATATAGGTGGGGGGAGGGGTGGGGACTGTATATACAGTATATATATAGGTGGGGGAGGGGGGGGACTGTATATACAGTATATAGGTGGGGGGGGGGAGGGGTGGGGACTGTATATACAGTATATAGGTGGGGGAGGGGTGGGGACTGTATATACAGTATATAGGTGGGGGAGGGGACTGTATATACAGTATATAGGTGGGGGAGGGGTGGGGTCTGTATATACAGTATATAGGGGGGGGTGTATATATAGGGTAACGGTATATATAGGTGGGGGGAGGGTGAGGAGGGGAGGTGTGGGGGAGGGGGTGATATTTGGGGGAGGGGGAGGGGCGGTGTAGTGGAGGGGGGGGGGGGGGTCTCGCACACACACACGGACGGATCTCCCGGTAAATGAAGATCACATCCCCCGCCATCCTCCGCCCCGCTCCCCCTCCGGTGTCCCGGATCTCCGCTCTATGCCAGGTCGGTGTGTCCCCGGTGTGGGGGGAGGGGAGGGGTCGGTGTGTCTGTCCTCTGTGTGTCCCGGCGGGGGGAGGAGGAGGGGGGTGTATTTCCCTCCATCGGTGACGGGGAGGGGGGGTCCCGGTGCTCTCGGGGGCCCCCCCGGATGGAGGAGGGGGGAGGGGAGATCTGCAGAACATGGCGGCCCCGGGATCGGATCTCAGACTCTCAGCTGCCATTTTTGTTTTCCTTTTGTCTGAAAATTTTAATAAAACTGTCTGAGAATGTGGGGGAGGGGAGAGGGGCCCCTGCAGGGGGACACGGGGGGCCCGGGGAACTTTATACCCACCCGGGGGGGACCCACAAACATCGCCGGCAGACGGACGGTGGAGACCAGAGACAGGTCCTGGGGGAGGGGGGTCCCCAATATCAGCACCATACAGGCAAGTCTGGGGGGGACCCCAATATCATTACAGGGGGGTCCCCAATATCATTATACAGGCAGGTCTGGGGGGACCCCAATATCATTACCGGGGGGGGGGGGGGTCCCCAATATCATCATTATACAGGCAGGTCTGGGGGGGCTACACCGATCTCTTCAATTATTATATGGGGGGGTCATGTGTACCATCATACATCGCACAGACCGCTCATCACTGCTGGGGGGGGACTCTAAGGGATCCTTCACCATATTTATTATGTAGCAGACTGGGGGGGGGGCACTAATCTATTATTATTATTCACGAGACATCAGACAGGTGACCCCCCCCCCCCCCCCCCGGAGACCCTCCTATGGATGTATTATTATGACATAAGACATCAGACCGCTCATCCCTGTAGGGGGACCCTTGGGGGGGGGGACTGGGGGGGGGGACCCCTCTTCTATTATTCTGGTTACACTGATTATTATTGGACATCAGAGCGCCCCTCCTCCGTCCTGGGAGATCTTCCTCTTATCATTCTCATGGTCTGTACTCAGACAGGTCCTCTTTACTGGGACAGATCCATTGCCAGACAGGTGGGTCCTCCTTCCTGGGGACCTCTTCATGGACATTGTCACCATTATTGGATTTATTACTGGGGGGTATTATTATGATCTATTATTTTGATCCCCCTACCTGGGGAGATCCTTCTATTATTACTCTTCAGGTCCTCCTACCTGGGGGATCCTTCTGTTATTACTCTTCAGGTCCTCCTACCTGGGGGATCCTTCTGTTATTACTCTTCAGGTCCTCCTACCTGGGAGATCCTTCTGTTATTACTCTTCAGGTCCCTCTACCTGGGAGATCCTTCTATTATTGATCTTCAGGTCCTCCTACCTGGGGGATCCTTCTATTATTACTCTTCAGGTCCTCCTACCTGGGGGATCCTTCTATTATTACTCTTCAGGTCCTCCTACCTGGGGGATCCTTCTGTTATTACTCTTCAGGTCCTCCTACCTGGGGGATCCTTCTGTTATTACTCTTCAGGTCCTCCTACCTGGGGGATCCTTCTGTTATTACTCTTCAGGTCCTCCTACCTGGGGGATCCTTCTGTTATTACTCTTCAGGTCCTCCTACCTGGGGGATCCTTCTGTTATTACTCTTCAGGTCCTCCTACCTGGGGGATCCTTCTATTATTACTCTTCAGGTCCTCCATGCCAGTGGATCCTTCTATTATTACTACTCTTCAGGTCCTCCATGCTGGTGGATCCTTCTTCTATTATTACTCTTCAGGTCCTCCTACCTGGGGGATCCTTCTATTATTACTCTTCAGGTCCTCCAGTCCGGTGGATCCTTCTATTATTACTCTTCAGGTCCTCCTACCTGGGGGATCCTTCTGATTATTACTCTTCATGTCCTCCATGCTGGGATGGATCCTTCTATTATTACTCTTCAGGTCCTCCAGTCTGGGTGGATCCTTCTATTATTACTCTTCAGGTCCTCCAGTCCGGGGATCCTTCTATTATTACTCTTCAGGTCCTCCAGTCTGGTGGATCCTTCTATTATTACTCTTCAGGTCCTCCAGTCCGGTGGATCCTTCTATTATTACTCTTCAGGTCCTCCAGTACCTGGTGGATCCTTCTATTATTACTCTTCAGGTCCTCCAGTCTGGTGGATCCTTCTATTATTACTCTTCAGGTCCTCCAGTCCGGTGGATCCTTCTATTATTACTCTTCAGGTCCTCCAGTCTGGTGGATCCTTCTATTATTACTCTTCAGGTCCTCCAGTCCGGGGGATCCTTCTATTATTACTCTTCAGGTCCTCCAGTCTGGTGGATCCTTCTATTATTACTCTTCAGGTCCTCCAGTCCGGTGGATCCTTCTATTATTACTCTTCAGGTCCTCCAGTACCGGTGGGGGATCCTTCTATTATTACTCTTCAGGTCCTCCAGTCTGGTGGATCCTTCTATTATTACTCTTCAGGTCCTCCAGTACTGGTGGATCCTTCTATTATTACTCTTCAGGTCCTCCAGTCCGGTGGATCCTTCTATTATTACTCTTCAGGTCCTCCAGTCCTGGGGGATCCTTCTATTATTACTCTTCAGGTCCTCCATGCCGGTGGATCCTTCTATTATTACTCTTCAGGTCCTCCTGCTGGTGGATCCTTCTATTATTACTCTTCAGGTCCTCCTACCGGTGGATCCTTCTATTATTACTCTTCAGGTCCTCCAGTCCGGTGGATCCTTCTATTATTACTCTTCAGGTCCTCCAGTCTGGTGGATCCTTCTATTATTACTCTTCAGGTCCTCCAGTCTGGTGGATCCTTCTATTATTACTCTTCAGGTCCTCCAGTCGGGGGACCCTTCTGCTACTTTCTTAGAGCTTAGACAGGATCCTTCTGTTATTACTTCTGTAGTCCTCCTCTGGGGGATCTCCTGATTTTACTGGCCAGTTCTCCTGTATTTACTGATTACTCTTCAGGTCCTCCGAGTGGCGCAGAGCTCTCAGGTTCCTCCGCACCTGGAGGATCGTCATGTATTAATATTGATGCTACTTTTCTTCGTAGAGCTCCGGCGCTTGCACAGACAGGGGATCCCCTTTTCATCTTCTCCCTCTTTGTGGTGGAAGATCTATTACATGACTCTTCAGGCCTCCGTGCCGCCGCTGGTGGATCCTGCTGTTGCTTAACGACGAGCTTCTTCCCTCCAGGTTTTTTTTTCATTAGTTGGGGTTAGGGGCCCTTCTATTATTATTAGGTCCCTCCAGCCTCTTCAGGTCTTCAGGTGTGTCCGGTGGATCCTTCGGATTATTACTCTGCAGGTCTCCAGTGTGGTGGAGTCCTTCTATTATTACTCTTTGTGGAGGTTTTCATTACTTTGTCTCCGGTCCGGTGCTTCTATTATTACTCTTCAGGTCTCCAGTCTGGTGGTCCTTTATATTATTACTGATCAGGTCCAAAGATCCGGTGGATCC